TATGATTTATATATATATATATATATATATATATATATATATATATATATATAGGACACTTTGATATAAATTGAGACATTATATATATATATATATATATATATTTATTTATTTATTTATTTGACGAAATTTCGGCAGCACCTTCTGTCTTCCTCAGTGTAAGAGTGTCCAATATTAAAGTTGACAATCTGACTATATTAACTAGACATGATAATCAGTATATAATAATGAATTAATGACATCGCTGATCTGATACACAATTATCTGTTTGCCCAAATTACATGGCCCAGTGGTCAGAGTTAGTGACTAGACCTAAATGATTAATATATATATATATATATATATATATATATATATATATATATACTTTCATAAAGCTATTAATTATTTTGTAATTGCCGGGTTGTTTTATATCTTTATTAAGTGCCCTATATAGGCCTACGTTTAATGTTTAACCATACGATTATCTTCCAAATTGTTGTTTTTTAGCTGTTTGCACTCCACCTTGCGTCAATGGAAAGTGTCTTGCGCCTGATTTCTGTTCCTGCTCTGCAAATTACACTGGTGCTGACTGCAGCGAATGTAAGCATTGCTGTGTATATTAAGCCCAATAAATGTTGAATAATTGCACTTAAAGTAATGATTGTGTGTTATTTTTATTTTGCTCGAATTATTTTTTTAAATAAAGTATTTCTTTCAAATCTAATTTGAAAACCAGTACCTTGAAATTATTCAACTAACAATAATGAGATTGACGTTAAGTAATTCACAACTTGATCATATAAAGATTGATAGCACCAATCAATGTCCAGTGCCCAGTCCAATGTAGAATTTGTTTCATATCATAACTTTGATGCTGGGGGCTCAAGCCCTTGCTGTGCAACACGCTAGTGTCCGTTGGAAAAGGCATTTACCTACCGTTGTCTCTATCCCGAGGAGAATAAATTAGTACCGTGTAGTTTAAACAATGTCATGTCCTAATTAGGTCTATCTGCAACATTATGGAACTCTTAGAGCTCGATAATGTGTTCTTATAGACCTATATTTGATTTGTGAAGGGCTTAGAAGACTTGCTGGCATGATGCGCCATACGATTAACATAATTATTATCGTTACCTACCTCTTACTTTTTTTTTCTCTTTTGTAGGAGTCTCACCAACTTTTATTTCATTTCTATTTTTTTATTTTTTTAATAGTTTTTTACACAAAAAGTTCTGACATTGAAACACCCATCAACGGTCAGTCTCTTTAATGCTAACAAAATTAAGTATATCGTAGTTTACCCATATTTTCATTATGATATGTTTAATAGATTTGTTTTTGCTCCAATGAAATTTGAATAATGATCAAAACATGCTTAAATATTTTGTACTTTTTGCCTTAATTGTTGTTTCTTTTTTCTCTTAAACAATCAATTAAAACTAGGCAATTGAACAGTTCGTACATTAATAATGCCTTTACTTTGGTTTGGCTTAATATTTTGTTCTTGTTTTTTTCATGGTTGCTTTTTCTTTTAATCAATCGATCCGTAATCAATTAAGTCAATCGACTAAACAGTCATTACAAAATTGATTGAAAATGTTATTAACAGTGCTAATCAATCGATCGATCGATCAATCAATCATTCAATCAGTAAAACAATCAATCAATTACAATCAGTCTTCACGGTTGTTTTTCACAAACAATTCAATCAATATATAAATTAATCGTTCAGTCAATCAATCAGTCCATCAATAATTACTCAATATATCGATAAACCACAATCGGTCTGCAAATAATTAAACCATTCTTTAAGTAACCAGAAAACATAAAATTGTTTTCATAGTGCATGTAATTGTTAACCATCATTACATAGTACAATGTTGCTAAATTACATTACTCTTTTTTTCCATAGTTGCTTTTTTTTAATCAATTCAAACAATTAATAAACAAAACAATACAAAAAAAATAATCAATCGGACTGCAATCAATTTAACCATTCGATTAAACAGTCATTACAAATCGATTGAAAAATTGATCAACAGTACATAACAGTGGCGTAGAAAAGTATTTTTCATTGGAGGGAGGGGGGTGATTGGCGTGTTAGCCAGTGTCGTAACAGGCGCGGGGGGGGGGGGAAACGGCCCCTCCCCTGACGGATTTTACCGGGTTGACAAAGCCGTCGTACCGGGCTGGGTAATAAGAGAAAAGAAATAGGGGAGGTTGAGGGAAAGAGAAAGAAGAGGAAAAGAAAAGGAAAGAAAAAGAGAAGAGAAAAATAAAGACAAGAATAAA